TTATTGTACGTCTTGTTAAGCCATCATCTTCTGAAGCCTCCAGCCATGCTTTGTTTTTGCTCTAAAGGCAATTGTAGAGATTAAGACAGTGCATCTGTGGGCAGTAGCCTTTAAAGGCCCCCTGGCATTGTGCAATGCATTGCGTGGGTAAAGGAAGGTGCAAGAGCCACTGTAATTTGACAGGACACAGAGAGCTGGCATAACTGTCCCTCCAGGAAGGCCTCTCTAGGAGCTTCTTCCTGTGGCCCGTTGCTGCTGTCTTGTCAGATGTGCTTTCTGGTAATAGTCCTTTGCTGGAGGTTATTTTGCCAAGTGAGATAGCATGCCTTAACACTTTCTCTGGGAAAATAAAATTTGATAGAAAAAGGGCATGCGTTTCCCCCTCATTTTGCCTGGGTGTGTCATTCAGAACCGCAGTGAGCGATATCATGGCTGGATTGTAATATTTAGTCATCACCCAGAAGAAAGTTAGCCCTTGGTGTAGCTGTTGGAAAAGCCTGGGGTTGCTTTGATATAGTCCACAGTTGTGGCCTATTAGCCGTCTTTCAGAGCCATTTGTTCTTTTGGAGGACATTACTTGATTCCTACTGGGTGTGAGCAGAGCACATCATGCTTGCTTAAAGTCGAGGCTCAGTCACCAGGAAAAGCCTCCTGGCGAGGGGTTGGCACAGGAGTCACACTAAGGAGCTCAGTCACACATTATCATGAGGACAGCCCAGGACCCGAGTTCCTTTCCTGCTGTTGGTATTAGGTCACCATGGCAGTAGGTTGGGACCAACTTGGCAATAACTAACAACAGCAATGATGTACTAGTCCTGTGGGTTCCAAGCTGAGAAAGACATAGACCCCAGGGAGTTTATAGCTAACCTAGTAAGTTAATTAGAGAAGTAGCTGAGGTGTGCCTGACCTTGCATTATTACATTGATACTCTCTTGGTCCTTATTATGTGGTTTTTTAAAAAACGACTAAGCATTGTATTCACCATCTCTCTCCACTTGTCTGGATCTCCCCCCCTCCCTTCTTTTTAACCCTTTGACCCTGTTGAAAATATAATGGAAAAGATGTTTTATCATTGCTTTAGCTTGTAAATTTCCAAGGAATACCATTTTCTGGCAGCAAAGCCCTTAAAGGTGAAGTGGTGATGCTTCAGTCACTTTGGGTTACCTGCATGCGGCTGCCAGAGTTCCAGGAAGCCCCGCGGGTGGAACTTATTGGTCAGCAGGATTCCATACTATGCGTGCTTCCATACGATATGAGGACAGCCAGCCTACAAAACCTGATGTTTGACTCTTCCCTCTCCTTCCCAAATGATCTAGTTGCCTTTTGTTGGCTGTGCGAAGAAGTAAAGTTGGCCTCATGGATTGCTGCTGCTCTTTTGTTGTTAGGTGCCCTCAAGTGGACTAGAAATCATGGTGACTGCGTGAACAACAGATCTGAACCTTGCCCTGTTCTCAGCCATCCTCATCATCTCTGATATACTCAAGCCCATCAATACACATCAATTAATGTCAAATTCTTACCTTCAGCTCCACCTGTAGAAGATTTTGTTTTAAATATCTTTCACTACATGCATCAGTTGGAAGGAGGAGTGGCATCCACTTCCATAACAGCTTGCCTCCGGAAACCATATGAACCTGGAGAGAGGATGAAAGGCACCCAAGCGTTGAGGACTCTCCTTTATAGTGTCGCTATGAGTCGCCTGCGACTCGACGGCACTTAACAACAACAACAACAACATGCGTCAAAAAAATGGGGCAAATGGATTAATATATAGTGTAAGTTTGCAATATTTTTGTACATTATTACAGGCATTCATTTTTAGATAAAAGTAAGTGAGCATCTGGGAAAAATGATTCCACGTGATCTCAGAAACTAACAGCTCTTGTCATATATTAACAGTGAAGTTCAAGTGTGATGTGGAGCTGGAATTTAGGCACATGGCATTGCGGAGGCAATGAGAATTTCTCTGGATTCTAGTTGATGTTAAAACCATTCACTTAATGAGTGACAGATCTAGGAGTTTTAATTTTTTTGTTAGAATAACTGGTGTGTCTTGTAGATCAGAGAATACATAGGGCTTTACGCCAAGAGCAGAGGTAACATTTCTTTCTTGTCTACTCTCCTCCTGTGCCAGTAATTGCCTCTGAAAGCTCGCTGGAGGGTCAGCTATGGGTCAGTTCTCTCTCGATGGTACACACAACAACACAGTTATGTTCTTAAGTATGTGTTTGCCATCTACTCCCCATTTCACAGAAAAGATAACTAAGAGTTCCACGTGGATTAAAAACATAGCCTTAGAACCTCTATTTTGTTGATGGCTAAATCTGGAATCAACCCAAGTGTGCTGAATCTGAGTTTGAACTTACACAGTGCTTCGTGTAAGAACTGATGTCTAGAAATAGACCAGCTTCCTTTAAGAGTAGACAGATCAAAGTGGTAGGAATGAACTTGGGGGGACCCTTTTATATGCTCATCTAAGTGAGTTAATGATACTGTGATTTTTTTCATAAATATTAACATTATTCTGGGCCAAATAATTTATTATCTTTGACCTTGACTTGGCTGAATTACATTGCTGCCCTCACTAGTTGAAGTGATTCCTTTTCTCTTGCACTGTTGTTTCTCTTCCATCGCAGCACATAAAATGTAGTGTTTTTCTCTTTAGAGCAGTTTGATGCACAAGCTCTGGAATTAGGCTATTTTTCTGTTTTTAATCAGTAATATACAAGTTTGTTATTTCATATCCCCCCAAGTTTGAAATTTTTTAAAAAAAATTTGCTATTGTAATAGTACATATGTAATAGTTTCTCAGTTGTATAATTTTCATTTCCAAATGATTAATGAGATGAATGGAAGGGAAAACTCCAGATGAGATGGAGTAACGGGGTAGGTGTGTTGGAGTGAGACTGGCTCAGGACAGGGCAGGCTGCAGAGCTGTTTTACACAAGGTTGCTATGAGCCGCAGGTGACTCGACGGCATGTAACAACAATGAAATTGAGCTCTATGACATAACCGAGAATTTTGCTTCTTTTGCTATTGAATAGTTTATATAAATTTGGTGATGCTTGGTAAAATTCACTTTTGAAGGTATATGGATCTGGAATGTTCT